TATATATATATACTTAAAGTCCTGATTTTACCCTATTGTTGTTCAGGACATATTTCGATATTCCACATTCATTTCACAATACTAAGGAAAAACGTGGACTTTTGGCTCACCCTGTATATATATATATATATATATTGTAGGATATCAGATGTGATAAAACATTAACACTCTTATTCTTATTACTTATTACATTTGATAATCAAGTGTGATCATACAGGGGGATCCAAACAAAAGGTATCAATAACAAAAAACAACAACAGGAAACACGATTATGAATTACAAATGTATATACATATAAATAAATATATGCGTGTTAAAGAGCATTTTAACACCATTTAAGAACTATAAAGAGTCATGTGATATACTACCTGTAAAATACAACAAAGTTAATTCCGCTACTTTGTTTGTTTGTTTGTTTGTTTTTTGGCAGGGGGAGCTAGTCTGTAGTGCAAATTCACAATACGAGTTTATGTCTGTTATAGGTATGTCATAAATTTTTAAAAAATAGCATATATCAAACAAAGCTGTAGTTGTAGCCAACATAAAAGTAAAAGTAGAACTACTGCGGTCTTTTTTGTTTACATCGTTTGCTCATTATACACAACATAAATTATAAATGCTAAATATTTTGCTCCATCCTGGACATTACGAACCTCTAAAACAGTGTGGCAAAATTTCATTCATTAGTTTTTACCTACTTTTGTTCTAAAGCCACATGAAATTTCCAGCAAATTTTGAAATTTTCATTTCCCTTAATTGTCCAAAAATAAAAAAGAACTTGTGAAAGTAATCTTTTTAGTGGCAGGAATGTGAAAATGAAAGTTATATATGCACACTTTTACAAGTTTTGGCTGTAAAATCTGCTCTAAAATGACTTTCAAAATAGCATGTATTTCTCCATTATTCGTCTCTTAAGGAAGTAACTCGAAAAGTAAGCACGCCAAGAAGTTAACGCTTGACTGAGTGCTTGCAACGCGAGACCTAGCGACCACAGTCAGCAGATCCTTCCCTTATCTGTCACAAATTTTGCGATATATATATTTATATATACTTGTTCAAGCGCTCGCAGCATGAAGCACGAATTCAACCTGCGTATACTTAGCTGAGTTAGTTACTTATTTATTTTTAGCTGTAAATAAACATCCGTATTTTAAAGCATGCCCTATCAGTGAATGGGAGAAAAAAACACCAATTGACAGAAATATTAATATACCCTTCTTTCCATCATCCGGGCATTCTTGTTCCCAGAATTCATTTCGCATAGTTCAGCGTATAACGAGAGTATCATCCTGTGTCACTGCTCCTTCTGGCTCTTTTTCATACCTTGTCGTATGAACGTATTTTCCAATCTACTTGATAATGTGTGGATTTTTCAGATATATTCCCTTAAAATAAGTTATAGTGTTCATTATTAGAGTAACACTGGTGTCAGTCTTCTTGTGTAGTTTTAGCAATATTCCTTTATAACAAGTTGTAATGTTCATTATTAGGGTCGCTCTGGAGTCAGTCTTCTTGTGTAGTTTTAGCAATATTCCTTTATAACAAGTTGTAATGTTCATTATTAGGGTCGCTCTGGAGTCAGTCTTCCATTCACTACATCAGAGTCCAATACTTCATCCACTCTGCACCTCGTGTCTGGCAGTGATGAAGACAACAATCCATTCTTCCCAGATTTGCACTTTCAAGAATGGTATTCAGAACTGGCATCAGCAACTGCAGGGCAGTGTGTACAGTAAGCATTCCGATGGCTACTGATCCCTTAGCCGGCTTTCGTTTCTTCTTTGATCAGGATGTACTGGATGAAGAGAGCTATGGGGAGACATCCTCATGGTTGAGGATATTGTGTATTTCCTCGAGGTACTGCTAAATGTCCCTGTAACATAATATTGATGTACGCCACCACTTTAGTAGACATGAGTGCCAGTGAATTTTCTACCCTTCATCAGATTATAAAGTAAAACTAGCCATTGGACCCGAGTCAATTTATGCGCTACGGAAGTTCTGATTCTGGGGATGGTGACTTCAGGACTAGATCCAATACCTTTCCTGTGGGTTTTTTTGCCTTCCATGGTGCATCCTCTTCCGTTGGCTCCAGGATACACTAGCAGAGGTTATCATTGTCACCGTAATGACATGTGTGGTTTGAAACACCTTGTAATTACATTCCACATTGTCTTTTGGCTGTTGAATGTTGTTTTAGAGTGTCGCCAGCATGCACTGCTGGCCTGGAAGGCTTCTGACCAACTTCTAATCCCATTGAATCACACTGAGATTCCACATGCTTCACCAGATAGCGTTGAAATGAAATGCACTGTACTTCTTCCAGTGCAGAAATCGCGTTACTCTCCTCGATCAGGCCCCCCAGTGGCACAGCGGTATGTATGCGGATTTACAACGCTAGAAACCGGGTTTCGATACTCGTGGTGGGCAGATCACAGATAGCCCATTGTGTAGCTTTGTGCATAAATTCAAAACAAACAAACAATCCTCGATCAGTGGTGGCTCCTCCCAGCTCCTTGCAATTATTGGACTTGTTAATGAGCACCTTTGGAATCCTATAGATACCATATAAGTAAGTCTCAAGCTGCTCACTGTCACCATGCCCCTTCTCTACCAACATATTTTCTTACATGGTAAGTGTAATCATTTGAGGTTGTGTCAGGGTGACCAAGATTGCCTAGCTACGTGCCTGTCAACCTGATGATCCCATGGCAGACAAAAGCACTGGGTCCAGAAGAGTGCTCTTCATAAATATACCTTGCCACATTCTTATATTAATTCTCTACTTCCACCATAGATTCTTAGTCTCTGCCACAAGTTTTGTGTGATCTCAGAAAGTTTTCTTCTATGATCACAGTTTAGACTAATTGCAGTACCAGAGAGTAAATAGAAAGACAAAAAAGCGCATTCATCTCAAATATTGCAATAAGTAAATTATCTATACTAAAAACAAACTAACTTGATAACTAATTTATAATATTTAGGTTCACTTATTTACAACTTGTCAGTTCAAGTCTCTGCAGAGCGCAGATCAAGAAATATTATGTAGAAAAGTAAAATGGACTTGGACAGCAAAGAAAAACAAAACAAGTAAAAAAATCAAACAAAATCTTTATTCACAATAATGTTTATCATAGCTTGCTGGTTGACTTCTAATGGATTGAATTCTAACTGCCTCCCAAGGTAAAAGAGAGAGTTTACAAAAACGTTCATACAAAGACAAGATAAAAACTAGTGTTATACCGCTCTTTCAATTCAGACCAAAGGAACCCACTGTGGTATCCAATAACCCTTAGTTATTCAAGGGAGAATACCCCTGACACAATCAACTTGTACAAGTATCTGTGATATTCTCCGAGATGGACTTGATTTACTTCAGGGAGGGAACACGGGGTCGAAATGGTACAAATTTCTATGAGATATTCGATGTCATGTCTAACTTGAA